CTTTCAATCACTTGTTAACCCTTTTATCCAATTGTTGTCATCACTCGTGTCGGTGGCCAACAGGTGAAGAAGTTGTTGCTGTCAGGAGGCGCCAAGTTCTTCAACTACCTCTCCGACAATGTCACTCATCTGATTGGCGACAACTGCGACCACCCGTCCGTCTCCGAAGCCGTCGAGATCTATGAGACCACTGTTGTCACCGTAAGTCCCCATCCCATCGGTTCATCTCATTATCACATTTACTGACACTTTGTTTGTTTCCATATCTCAAGAGTCGATGGGTTTGGTTGTCGGCGAAGGCGTTGGCGCTCTTGCCGTAAGTGTCTATCACTTGAAACTTCGTCCAAACAAATGTCTTAACATATGATGTATTATCTGACAGAACGGCCGCCTTCTCGCCATTCAAGACCCAACTGTTCTCCAACATAACCGCCTGTCCGTCCAACATATCGGGAACTGACTGCCAGTCCTTGTGGGCAATGATTACATATTATGGCGGGTCGTATCGGCTGCAGATGTCGTCCGACACGACTCACTTGATATCAACCAAACCCGAGGGCTTGAAGTACGAGAAGGCCGTCGAGACGAACGAAAAGATCAAAATAGTGACACCCGATTGGGTCATCGATTCCGTCAAAAACAAGTCCCTCTGCGATGAAGATCTCTATCACCCGAGACTTCTTATATTCAATAACCAGTCCTCCATCTCAGCCAAAGTGGAACTCACGGATGTGTCCACACCATCGACCACTATCTCCACCACTTGTGTCATGACTTCCATCGCGCCGACAGCCATCACATCGCTCGCCAACACATCGACTGCACCACAACTGGCGCTGAGAACTGTGTCACTGCCGACCACTGCGATGATCACGACGTTCTCGATCGCACCGCCACTACAGGCCAGTCCGACGACAGTCCAGGGCGGACGGGTGCGCGTGTTTCTGCCGCCTCAACATCAGGTGAGACTCATGCAAATGAAACAAAACCAAATCAGACAACTGGGCGCTGGACAGCAACAGGTCGTCAACATTCAGCAAATGATTCAACGACAGGCCCACCCCTTACACCAACAACAACCACAACCTCAGCAACAATCCCAACAGCAAACGGATCCCAATTCCGGTGTCGATCCCAATCAACAGTGGACTCAAAACCAGCAATTTATGGCACAACTGCCGCAAACCGGTGCTCCTACTCCTCAACCCATTCAAGTGATATCCCAGAGCGCACCCGAACTCACGAAACTGAGACCCATTAACGCGACGGTCGGAATGGGACAACAGCCCCGACAGGTGTATCTCGCGGTACAACAGACCAGACCTCAACACTTCATCCAAGTGTCACAACAGTCGCAACTTCAGCAGCAAAGACCCCAACCGAACATAATTATACAGCAGAGAGGGCCCGGACCGGCCGGTGCCGTGCAATCGGTGCGACTCCAACAGGCGCCCCAACACCTCATTCAACTGCAACAGCGACAACCCATTAGTCTGCAGTCGGGACCGTATGTGAGGACTACTCAGCAAATCATAATTCAACAGCAGAACCAACAGGCCATCCAAAGACAACTTCAGTTACAGCAACAGCACCAACAACAAGGACTTCAGGTTTGGCACCAGTAGTTGTCAATTGAATTGATTAGCATTTAATATGAATTTTGTGGGACAGCCCAACCAACAGATGCAACAACAGGGTCAGCCTCAACAGGGAATCATAGGTCACCCGCAGGTCCAGCAGAGAATGACTGGACAGCGAATACCTCAACAGTTTCTGCAACAAAATCAAATGAGGGGTCAACCCATTGGTCAACCCATTGGTCAACCCATTCGCGGCCCAATAGCCGCGCAGCAAATAATCTCGAGTGCAATACCTACGGGTCAGCCCCGGGTCTTCAGAGCTCAAACGCAATACGCTATTCAGGGACAACAACAGCAACCATACGATCCTCAACTCCAACAACAGCCACCGCCTCAGCAGTACATCAGAGGACAGGCGCCACCACCTGTAGGTCAGGTTCAGTTCATACGCGGCCCTCAATGGGCTCCGGGACCCCCTCCAGACCAGTCACAGCTTCCACAACAGCAACACTTGACGCCTATGAGACCGCAACACATTCTGGTCACACAGTCAGCACAGGGACCCCAACCCACACAACAACAGGTGTTTCAATGGCAACAACAGGAGATCCAGAGGCGACAACTGCAACAACAACAGAGTCAACAACGGTTCCAATTGTCGGCGCCGGGCGTCACACCCGATAAGGTTAGGCCAACTGTGTCTGTCGTAAGTGTTAGCTCTACGGCCAACACAGATAGTGGTGCGTCAGTCGCGGTGGCGACTCCCGGCTCAACCGTTCGCACACCGCAAACACCGCAAACCATTAGTCCTAATGTAGTCGCCCTCTCGAACAGCCAAACCATACCTCCAAATGCCAGTACAGTCTCTGTGTCAGCACAAGTAAGCCCCGTAAGCACTGCCAACACCACCACAACACCGAACACTACTGTCACTTCTCCTGTAGTTAACCCTAAGACTAAGACAGCCTTAGCTAACCTCCTGAATAACCGACTCCAGAGCGGCAATAATACCGGTCTGGCCCGGGGTGGTGACGGCTCCACCACTACTACTTCCACTACTTCTAGCGACGTCTTTCCTCCTAATGTCTCGGTTGCGGGTTCTCTATCTCTTTCCTCTACTACTTCTCTGCCAAATAAGACAGGTCTCGGGTGTATCGGATCTCCCGGTGCGGTAAGGAAGGCATGCCTTCACTCTATAATCATGTAATGAAGTATTGCATGACATGAATGCCTAGACTCTCACATCGCATGACATAAATGAATGGATTGTTTGAACAAAAATCAAAATCTCCCCAAAGTTTAGACCAAATACTGATTGATATATCGATTTTAGGCGATCCCTGATATGGGTCAACACTTACGGCCGGACGACTCGCATCACCCCAATCACCAGCAGTTAATGCAAATCAGATTTTTCGGCTTCGATCCCAAACTCCAAATCCCTGCCTACCAGTGCCTATTGGGCTGTGTTTTCCATTTGTTTGGTTTCGAGAATCTGGTCGATCAGAAACTGATAGATTTGTGGACAAATAAGTTGATCAAAATGGGCGCAGAGGTGGACAATACGTACAACAGTGCCAAATGCACTCATGTCTTGTGCGACAACACTCACCACCCATTCATCAAAGAGGTTTGCCATCGGTTTGCAGTGTTTAATGAGATTTATTATAATTCAACGAATGATTTAAACAGTGCTTACGGGAGGGAAAGCGTTGTGTTTCCGTCTTTTGGCTCAACGATGTTCTGAAGGCTAAGAAGATGTTACCGCCGATGAAGATCTATCATTTGCCGCATGCCTTCAATGACAACAAGCCCTGCAAACAACATGTAAAGCAATGCCTTGGCTTTTGGTGTTTTACTATTACTGATGAACTGTTTGTTTGTGGTATTTGTGGGAACAGATCATAACAATGACTAACTTCGAAGGCGAGGAACGGATCAGAGTTAAGGAAATGATTCTGAGAACTGGCGCTAAATATACATCTTATTTGACGCAAAAGAATACGATTATTGTTTGCAAACGGTTTGTATTGAAATGATTGGATAATTATTAGCAAATGTGAAACAATTTTGTGACTATCGTTAGACTCGATGGCGAGAAATATCGCAAATCTGTTGAATGGAGGCTCGCGATCGTCAACACTGTTTGGTTACACGACGTGCTCTTCGGCCAAATGGAAGCCTTGCAGTTGTCCAGCATTCACAAGAAGTACCAGAACTTCGATCTCAAAGACCCCTTCCGTATAGAGTACACAACGGTTCCACACCTCATGAACCCCTGGAGACAACCCATTAGACTCGCAGACGATTACGTCAAGAGTCGGATCCAAGAGTACAATGAGAAGCACACCAAAGATGTCAGTCCTCCTAACGTAGTGGTCGACAACAACCACAACAATAATAACCACAATTATAGCCCAATTACCGGTAATACGAATGCTATTAAAGTAAACATTAGTACCATTAATACCGGTAATAATAATAATGGCAATAATAATACGAGTATTAATGATAACAACAACAACAAAGTGACGACACCTGAAGCGGAATCGGAAGAGCCGTTGGCTAAGAAACTGAAAGTACAAACCATTGACAACCCGGTTATCATCAAAGAGGAGTCCGTATCGAACAACTCGTTGCCAACCAATAGCTTATTGCCGACACTCCAGACGCCGAACCCCGAAGTGGTTAAGAATATTCGAGTCATGTTTACGTCGATTAAGGACAACAATCGGCAAGAGTTGCGGCAAATGGTGTTAGCACTGGGAGGACGGCTAACCAACGCGAGCGCTGATGTCACGCATTTAGTCACCGATAAGATCGCGCGAACCGTCAAATTCTTGTGTGCATTCGGTTCGTGCAAATTCATAGTCACCTCCGAGTGGGTCATCCAATCGGCTCAACAGAACCGCTTTGTCGACGAAAACGACTACCGATTGGGTGACCCCATGGCTGAGAAGCACTTCGGCTTCCTATTGGAGCACTCATTCAACATAAGAAACCCACTGCTCTTCAAGAACTATGTCTTCTATATCACCAACGGATGTATTCCGTCGCCTAAAGTAATCAAAGAGATTATAGAGAATACGGGCGGACAGGCCGTCACCACGAAAAGGCCGACCCGACGCCAGTTGATGCTTATGCGCGAGAATGGACTCAAGTTTTACGTCATTAGCTGCGAAAACGATCTTCATTTGTGTGACCTATTCTTCGCCCGTAAAATCGGTTAGTATTGCATTTCATTCCGTGACTACACTCTAAACAACACACAAATTGTTTCATTCATTCATTTAACGCTTTCTTTTGCTTTTATTTGACAGACGTTTTGAACGTTGAGTTCGTTTTGTCCGGAATTCTCAAACAAGAGCTCGACTTTGATTCTTATGGTTTCAAACAGAATATATTAAAAGAATAATTAAATAATAATAAAAAGTAATTAATTTAATGATTAAACGATTCGTTCAGTTGTCGGTTCACTGCCTCTGCATTCCGTTGACGGATGGGTTCGAGTGCTGAGGAGTGGTATTACCGCCGATGAGTGGAGCACCTGATGAGCCCATAGGCGGCGCCGCACCCGTGCCGTCCGGGATGTGCTTCTGTTTCTTCTTCTTCTTGTCCTTCTTCTTCTTCTTGCGCTCCTTCTCCTCGTCGTGTCGTTTCTGCTTCTTATGCTTCTTCTCATGAGACGCCACTTCAGACACCTCTGAGTGCGAGTCATATGAAGGCGTTTCGCCGCTCTTCTGCTTATTCTTCTTGTGTTTGTGTCGTTTCCGTTGAACCGTTTGACTCATAAACCTGTACTGTTCGGGAAGCTATAGGCGCCCAACAGACAGTCCATTAGTATGCGATTTAATGATAATAAAGAGGTAATCATATGATATGAGTGGTACTGACCGGTCCGGCGTGTAATCGAAAGCCAAGCAATTGGTTGGCAGTGAGAGGTAGGAGTTCTTTGCCACCGATGGGAGGCTTTTCGATCAGTAGTCGCAGAGAACTGACAGACATTTCATACATATTTTAAACGGCGTTTGAGTGGCGAGTGAATCGTTGGTGACATACCTGTTGTCCTGAAGGGCCGGTATGTCTATATTCCCCGGAAGGTTAGGCAGGAAAGCGCTCAACTGGTCCTTGACTTTACGTCCGGAGAACTTGTTGTACGAGTGCTCGAGACTGTTCTTCAGCAACAGATTGGCCGCTCCCGTCAACTCACTCTCGGCTAATCCCAAGACATTCACACCATTATCACATCAATCATACAAATGGCTGCCAAATGTGGTCATCGATGGCATACCTGGAGGTTCTTTCATGAGATAGAAGGGTCCGGAGTGGACGATCACTGGCGTTTTGCCCAACGATATGGTCGTCTTCAGAGTGCCGGTGCTGTCCTGTCGGGGAACCACTGGCGACCGATTGCCGCGTGGACTCGATTTGGGCGAAGAGCTCGGGTCTGGCGGTCGTCTCACCATTTCGGACATCATTTCAATCACCACTTCCGCACAGACGACAGACACAAACCGATCACTCACTCGATGTCAGCATTTGATGTCTACAACCAAAGCGTCCGACTCTTAGAGTCACTGTCTTTGGTGACAAACTCGAGGGCAAAGTGTGGACACAAACCAATCGCTCAAACAATTGGACGACAAGTGAAATGACAATACGTTTCGATGTCTTGAGTCGACGTCTGGATGAAACTCAAGACATCAAAAATGTCGTCAAATGCGAGACTCAGTGACGAGTGGTTTGTATTGAATGTATTGAATGGGGAGTCCTTTGATTGGACGCTATTTATGGCACTCAACGAGACTTTTATTGATTCACTGATAGGGAACGACGGTTGGGAGGGTGCGCGAGTAATACCTCCTCGCCCGCCCGCCCGCGCTCAATATGCAAGGCATGCTCAAAAAATGGGAGTAAGGATAAATGTTTTTAAAAAGACTAACTTTTAATCTAACTTATAATTAATTAATTAAAGTTTTAATGTCCAAAACTGGGCGGGCTGGCACGTCTCGAATACGCCGGGCATGCCCTGGGCGCACGCTGAGAACGCCCTGGTGGGCGCGGGCGCGTGTCTGTCCCTATTGACAGATTGTTGCGTTTTCACTCAATGTTGAGACTCATTGGCGCCGCCTTTGAACGCCATGTGAGCTGACGAGTGGGCGGCGACTGACAGGCGCTCTCCCGGGCGACCGACTCGTCGTGTGAGTCGCTGTCGTCGTCAGTGTTTGCGACACAAGAGTCTAATAATAATATGATTTGGATTTTAATGTCAAATAAAAAACACTTTTAGTGTTTGCGTTGACCTTAAACTACAAACACAGCGACTATTGATTGACAGACAATACATTAAACGCCGATTTGTCGCACATTTAGACCGCGGGCACAGTGTTTGCACCGATATATTGAGCTATGGTTTGAGTATTTGTTTGTTTACTTATTGTGAAGGCTTTCATCACTCAATACATGCGATCAGATGTTTGTCTATTATTACTAACTATTGGCACAATTGCTGTGAATATCATATAAAACCATGAATTATGACTTCACTTCTAGTCCGTTGTTCACACTAGTCGTTACCACCGATTGCTGTGATTAATGCCCTGATATCACCCATTCATCTATCAGTCAAAACCGATGGCAAACACTTTGAATCGTATGAGTATTTTGTTTGCAAATTGTATACAATTATTGGACTCTAGTTTCGTAGTGAATGTCACTTCAAGTCAATTACAATCACTATTATTAGTGGTATTAAGTCTATTAGCGTTCATATCGTTGGCCACAAATGTATTATATTTTGTCAATCATTTTGTTAAATCAATATCAAAGCGTTTACCAGTGATTCACATAATTATTACACAATACTTAATGCAATTATATATCGAAAGCAATACTGCATTCAAATTATGGCAAATAGTATTACAAACTGTGATTCAAACTCTACACCAACTAACCAGCAAAAGGTATATATCTTATTAATACAGTATCTCATTATAACATTTATATTACCCTTGTCAATTTAAATGCATTTAATTTATGCTCAATATACTGTAAAAGGTTATACAGTACAGTATTACTACTATATTTAAAACTTTTCAAGTCTATTAGACACGCAAATCCATAGTAACACACATTAACACATGAATACATAATTAAGTTTATAATAGTATTGTAAGAGTATTGACAGTATTATCATAATTAGAGTTATGAATGAAAAGATAGCATTCATTTGCATGAATCGATTCCACATCTGATATGACATTGAATTCAAAAAACGAGTTATGAATGGAAATGATTAGCAAA